TGGAGGCCATCGCTATTAAGTTGGAGGCCAGCGCTATTAGGTTGGAGGCCATCGCGAATAGCTTGGACGCCAGCGCTATGAGGCTGGAAGCCATCGCTATTAAGTTGGAGGCAGCGCTTCTGGTCGGTTGGAGGCCATGGCTATTAAGTTGGAGGCCATTGCTATGAGGTTGGAGGCCATCGCTATTAAGTCGGAGGCCAGCGCTCTGAGGTTGGAGGCCATCGGTATTAGGTTGGAGGCCATCGCTATCAGGTTGGAGGCCATCGCTATTTCAGTTGGAGGCCAGCGCTATGAGGTTGGATGCCAACGCTATTCAGATGGAGGCGGAGGCCATCGCATCACCATTAGGTATTAGTAAGTTGGAGGCCATCGCTGTGAATGGAGGCCATCGCCATTAAGTTGGAGGCCAGCGCAATGAGGTTGGAGGCCAGCGCTATGAGGTTGGAGGCCAGCACTATTTCAGTTGGAGGCCAGCGCTATGAGGTTGGAGGCCAGCGCTATTCAGTTAAAGGCCATCGCTATTAAGTTGGAGGCCATCGCATCGCTATTAGGTATTAGTAAGTTGGAGGCCATCGCTGTGAGAATGGAGGCCATCGCTATTAAGTTGGAGGCCAGCGCTATGAGGTTGGAGGCCATCGCTATTGTGTTGGAGGCCAGCGCTATGAGGTTGGAGGCCAGCGCTATTAAGTTGGAGGCCAGCGCTACAAGGTTGGAGGCCAGCGCTATGAGGTTGAGGCCAGCGCTATGAGGTTGGAGGCCAGTGCTATTAAGTTGGAGGCCATCGCTATGAGGTTGGAGGCCATCGCTATTAGGTTGGAGGCCATCCCTATGAGGTTGGAGGCCATCGCTATGAGGTTGGAGGCCATCGCTATTCAGTTGGAGGCCAGCGCTATGAGGTTGGAGGCCATTGCTATTAAGTTGGAGGCCACCGCTATGAGGTTGGAGGCCGTTGCTATTAAATTGGAGGCCATCGCTATGAGGTTGGAGGCCATCGCTTTCAACTTGGAGACCATCGCTATGAGGTTGGAGGCCATCGCTATTAAGTAGGAGGCCAGCGCTACTAGGCTGGAGGCCATCGCTATTAAGTTGGAAGCCATCGCTGTTAAGTTGGAGGCCAGCGCTCTGAGGTTGGATGCCATCGCTTTTAAGTTGGAGGCCATCGCTATCAGGTTGGAGGCCATCGCTATTAAGTATTATCAAGTTGGAGGCCATCG